ATGAAACAAAATGATTATTGTTTTTTGATACGTGTTGTCAGCATTTCTCTATCCAAATAGCATTACTTTACAGCAAAAGATTCACCTAGATGTGACAAAGATGGTTGTTTTCTTACCTTTATTCAAAGAACCCCTTTTATAGCAGAAGGACGACACTCCCGCCATTTCTATGGCTGGTGTTGGCGCCGTAGATGGAACTCTCCTCAGGGGAGAGGAGCCTTGTATAAATATGAGACCTGGCATGTGACGTGTGGAATTAGTTTAAACAGGCACTGGCATGTACAAAGTATAAACATAAGGTTTCATGTATCTGCTCTCGAGTCTCGCCGTCCCTTCTTGTCTTGGAGCCAAGTGAGATGGGTTTCTCTCTGGCGTGTGCTGTCTAAAACAAATTGACTGGGGGCGGTGCTTGTAGGGCAGGGGAAGCATCAATCAAAAGCAGTGATTAATTATTGGGCTGGGGGTCCTAAAAGGCGTGATTTCAAATTGTTGACACGTCACGTCAGCCACAGTTGATGGCTTCTCCAAACCTGGTAATGGAGGTTTTTTCCAGAGAGATTTGAATTAAAGATATCTGAAGGAGAAAAGGAATCGAGAGGAGGACACTAACAATATCGACTGAGGTCCTGTTGATGCTCAAGATCAAACCAGTCAATAGTGAGAAACGGCAACAACGCATGCAAATGAAACTCCCATCTTCTAATTTTCACTCGTTTTTATCCTTCTCTATTCTATTAGATTTTTATGCCCGCGCAATGAATCTTCATGTTAATTTTTATTTATTTAAAATAGTAACATACTTCTTAAGTAAATATCTTTCATAATCTGAAAATCTATCCAAAAAGGAAGTTCAAAATTAAAAAAAAAAATCTCCCCATACCTTTTGCATGGGTGTATGGAAAAATAAAATAATAATACATATATATTTTATTCTAATTTAATATTTATATTTCATTCTTTCACTATAAGGTTCGTATATAATTAATAAGAAAACATTTTCACAAATATAACCATAAAAATATATAATCTCATTTAAAAACCATGACATTTTTAAATGACATTGTATTTACTAATTTAAATATGTAAAAAATATATAATAAAAATTTGTAGCAACACCCGTTGTTTGTTGCTAGAAAATTAGGACCACATTTTTTAACTCTTAAAATCTAATTTTTAACTTATTTACTATTTAAAAACACATATAAAACATCCTCAAAACTTCATTTTCAATCCCAAACACACGATTTAATCACTCTAAAAACCACAAAATAAAGCAAATAAAAAACACTTTATAAGTTCTTGTCTCTTAATTATAAAGGCCAAAATCACCTAAAATTAACTCTTCTCTCCAGTACGAATCCATTGATGCCAAGTGTTTTTTCTTTTCTTTTTTTTTTGGTGGACACCCAGAATCTCTCTCCCATCCCTCTTCTAGGGATCTTCTCTCTTGTCTTTTAAAATCCAGGGACTAGAATGTACAAATATAAAAGTACGAAAACCAAAATATGAAAAAAAAAGAAGGAAAACTTGAGGGTTCAAGATGTACTTTCCCATGTCTAGTTGCTGTAAAAAAGTCCTATTTCCAAAATGCGTCTAGGGAAATAGTAAAATATCTAGTCCAGTTAGTTTATTTTACTAGTTTTTTTTTTTTTTTTTTTTTGCGAGATAGCTTTAAAGATGTTTTTTAGTCTGGTTATGCTGTAAATAAAATAGATATATGAAACAAAGCAAACGCATCTTCAAGCGTCTCTTAAATAATTCTTCTGGTAATGTTAATATCATTCCATCGTCGTGTTACTGCATCTGGATAAAAAATATATATCTTCTTCGGTGAATTTTACGTTTTTTATTGATGCATTTTTTTATTTAGACAAAAACATGTTTTTTAAAAGCAGCATATTTTTTTCATAAAAAATAACATCAATTAAAATAAACATTCGCATTTGAATTAAGAAGGGGAAAAAATGTCTCTTCAAGAACTTCCTTTTCTTATTCATATATTTATTAAAAAAAAACAGTTTTTTATATGAAAAACATTGTTTTTTAAACACAAACTTATCATGATCTAGAAATAAAATTCCAATAAAAAATATTAGAAATCATGATTCAATAATTTATACATGATTGAAAAAATAATTAACTTTAGAAAATCATGTAAAAAAATTGAAATATAAAAATATTATTTTAGTTATTTTATTTGCAATGAATTCTATTAAAAAATAAAGAAAAAGATAATATTAAAGGAAGCAAGCATCTATGCATGGTAGGGGTGAGTATTTTTGGTTTGGTTTGGTTTGGTTTTCATCTAAAAAACAAACTAATTCTTTTAAAAAAATTAAAACAAACCAAAACCAATTCAAATCAACTAGTTTTAATTCAGTTTGGTTCAGTTGATTGAAGGGAAAAACTAGAAAAAAAACTGGTTTATCTTTTTTGGTTTTTTTAGGTTTTTTTATGACTTTTAATGGGATCATTTAAAAGGCATGTAGTTGATATAAAAACCTATATTCATTGTTTAATTTTTCTTTACCAAAATTCATCTTGAATGTCAGGGGAAATATATTTTAATTTGTACTTGATGGCTTTCTCAAACCAATCAACTCTAATTAAAATTTAAAATAAAATTATACAACAAATAACATGAAAAATAAATAGAACATTGAAAACAATGGGCTCAAACCAAGAAAACAATACATACGATAAAACTAAAGAAATACAATTTACAGATATCCCTTGAAATTAAAACAAAACACATTAACTCCACAAAAATAAAATAAAAGGAAAGATGCTACTAATTTATCATTTTAACATTTTATAGCTTGTATTTTCTTCAAAACCAAGTGAGAAAAAACTAAAGAGTTAACAAAATAAGTTAATATAAATTGATAAAAAAAAATAGCATTAAATTTCTCATCCAATTATGAGAAGCAAAGAACTTGAAGGAGTAATTGCTAACTTTGATTTAGACACAAAAAGATTGAGAGATGAAGATTTGATCAAGAGATTAAACAAAAAAAAATAGGTTAGGGCAGGGGGCGACTGCTATGACTGATTTAATAGGGTTAAAAGAAGAAACTGAAAAGTAGATGAATTTAGAAGCTATTTATAATAACATCGGGTTTTTTTATTTCTATTTGAACCGGTTTGGTTCGATTCAATTTATTCAGTTTCAGTCTTTTAAAACTGAAACTGGATTAACCAAACCAAATTTTTTAAAACTGAAACTGGATTAACCAAACCGAATTATTTTTATATTTGGTTCGATTCAATTTATTCAGTTTCAGTCTTTTAAAACTGAAACTGGATTAACCAAACCAAATTATTTTTATAATTAATTTAATAAGTTTTTTTTTTCAATTTAATTTTTTCAATTATTATTTTTTTCTATTATCTCAATTTAATCATTTTTTTTAGTTTTTTACTCGCCTAATACATGGAAAGATTGCCCAAGATGTTTGTCCAACTTAATTAAATAAGTCCCAAGTATTAATGGGCCTGTAAAACAAGACCCATGCACCTAACTTTAGTTTTTTTTAAAAATGTTAAAAAAATATTTAATATATTTTAAAATAAAAAATATTTTTTTAAAATAATCACTGTACATCTCAAAACACCAGCCTAAAACATGTCGCACAATTACTTTTCTGAGTACATGATTAGTGGCTGGGCAAGACACATGCGCTTGTCTTTTTTTTCTTTTTTAAATGGACGAACGACAATACCAACAAAGTAATGGTAGCGTGGATGGATGAAGCATCCTCTGCTCATTCAAATTGTAACAATCCATGGTGGCTACAAAACCGGGGTCTAGTATTTTTAAATCCTAAAAACTCATTTTCAACTCTGGGTGTGTATATATATATATAAAATAATTTCTATGGGCCTGTCAAACCTATTTTAACTTAAAATATAGTTTAACTAGTCTACAAACTCAAAACTAAACTGAATTCAAAATCCTTCCTGAACCCTAATCACCCCCCCCGCCAGTGAGATGAAAAATCTAAACCACATATCTATATAGACAAACTCATAGGAAGGAAATGAAAAAAAAATAAAAAAATTGTTTAAGAAATGGTGTTATCCGTAGTCATTTGTGATGAACAATAATTAACGATAAAAGCGTGTTTTATTTGTTTAAGACATGGTTGAGAGGCTCCAACCTCCACATGTTTTCTCGCCACAAATGGCGTGTAATTTTTTATTTTCAGTAATAAGGGTACCAGTGAGTCATTTTACATGTCAAATCAAGATTAAATCTTGTATTTAATGATTTTAAAAATGTACTTGGAAGTATCCATGAAGATTTCATAATTTCCTTTAAATAAAATCTAAGCTTCCAAAATAAAATAAAAAAACAATAAAACATCATGCTGGTCCTTACCTAGAGTTAATTAGTGGCAGTTGTTTTTAAAATATCTTTTATTTGAAAAAATAATTTAAATAATTTTTTTATTTCTTAAAATTTATCTTTAATATTAATAATCTAAAACTATCTAAAAATAAAATTATAAAAAAATCTTTGAAAGTCATTAAGAAATCACTAGGGCTCTTAGTCATATATTTAACGGTGACTGGGGGGAAAGAAAGCGACTCCCCGAACGCGCACGGCCCACCCTAGCGGACAGACAACAAAAGACGTGGCCGCAACATCAGCCTGATTTTGTGCCCCTCAATCAGCGAGGGGTCGTGTCCATATTCTTACATGCACACCGCTCTCTCCTCCTCTATCCCCATATATATATATATAAAAGATTATTAGAATTTGGACCCAATAGGGCACCCCTCTTCCTACCCACATGGTGTACAATCAATTCAATCCCTCGATTTACTTTTAGGAATTCAAAAGAGGAAGGGAGGGGAGCCTTCCATAAATACAACGGATCCTTCCTCTCCCCTCGCCCAACAACATTTTCCTTTTCCATTTGTCAATCCCAAAACACTAAAAATAAATAAATAAATAAATAAATAAATAAATAAATAAATAAATTCCCCTTAAAATACCGTTCTTTGAAATTCAATTCCTCGACGCTACAAGATTAAAAATCAACTCAAAAGAAAACAGCTTTCTCTAAGCTGTACACGCCGAACACCCTTCACGCGTTTGCCCTCTTTCACTTCACCCTCCCCAGAAATACTCTTTATAAACATAAAAAAAAATCACATCCTTTTGTTTCTCCTCTCGCAAAACCTCAAAAAAATGTCGTCTTTAACCTTAAATCTCCTGTTTTTCTTCATCTTTGCTACAATACCCTTCGCCAACTCCCAAACACCAACACCAGAAGCACCAGCTCCAGCATCCAGTACTTGCAATGGCATCTTCTTATCATACCAGTATAATGGGGGATCACAGATCAAACCAACAGACCCCACACTCCAACCCTACAGATTTAAATCAACGCTAACTGTGCAAAACAACGGCCGTGATGAACTTAAATCATGGAAGGTTTTTGTGGGTTTTCAAAATGATGAGCTTTTAGTTTCTGCTTCTAATGCTGTTCTCGCCGATGGTACTACCTTGCCTGCTGCTGTTGGGAATGGTACTGTTTTCGCTGGTTTCCCAATGACCGATTTGAAAACTGCTATTGAGACTGCTGGCGATGACACTCAAACTAGTGTCCAGGTTCAGTTTTTAGGGACTCAGTTTGGAGTTCCTTTGAAGGATGTGCCTTGGCCTTCTAATATTTCTCTTGCTAATGATGGCTTTGTTTGCCCTGCCACTACTAAAGAAGGTCAGCTTAAAGCTTTCATCTCTTGGGAGTTTTATATATGTGGTCTTTTTTCATATAAATTTTGTGATGTGGGTTTTTTAGTTTAAAATGAGATTGGTGTTTTATTTCGTCGGTGGGATTTTTGTTTTGATTCTTTTTTTGGTGGTTGGATCTAATATTAGCTGCTCCTTAAAAAAATGGATCTTGTATTCTTGGAAGATAAGAGAAGATTACATGATTTTTTTTTTGCAAGAATTATGAATCAATTGAATAAAATTCTTGATCTAAAGTGGGAAATTTGTGCTATTTATATGCTGAAATGGTGGGATGCATTGTTACTAGGGTTGTTGAGAAGCTGGTGCTGCCAAAGTCACTCTTTAGCGTATCAATTTGATTTTTGTGGCTGGACACCAACACCACTAGCTTATTTTATGAATGAAAGTTGTCTGGCAACTTCTGGTTGATTGTGGTTTTAGTTCAAATGTAGGCGGTCATTTGTGTCAAGTTGGTTTATGAAATGAAAGCTAACCATCTGACTTACAATTTGGGAAATTTGTTTCATCATGTTGAGTCAATATTGTTTGGACAAAATGAAGTCAGGCAATGTGGAGATTGTTATGAGATTTGGAATTTGTTATTTGTGAGATTATTTTCCTTTTCATTCCTGTGATAGCTACTTGCCTATCGATATATGACTGTCAGAATTAAAAGATCACATGATATCGCTTCTCATCTGAATTGGGAAATTCATGTTCTGTTACATCTATTGATGGACATCTATTTTGGGTTTTTGCAGGAAGCATCATGTTTGTTTGCTGCACTAGAGACCAAAAATTTAAAACAAACATCACTTTAGATGAAGAGTTCTTGCCCCGCCAGAATGGAGATCTTACAATCATGTATGATGTGATCAGAACATACGACTCGAGTTATTGGGCACAGGTTTCTATTGCAAACCATAATCCTCTTGGTCGACTTGATAACTGGAAATTGAGCTGGGACTGGATGAAGGATGAATTTATCTATTCCATGAAAGGGGCTTATCCTTACATTCTTGATTCTACTGACTGCATATATGGTCCTCAAGGTAAATACTACGGGGCCCTAGACTTTTCCAATGTATTAAACTGCGAGAGAAGGCCAACGATAGTTGATTTGCCTCCAACAAAGGCTAATGACACAACCCTTGGATTGATCCCTTTCTGTTGCCGAAATGGTACTATCTTGCCACCATCCATGGATCCAAGCAAGTCGACTTCAGCTTTCCAGCTCCAGGTTTATAAAATGCCTCCAGATCTCAATCGCTCTCAGATCTCACCACCACAGAACTGGAAGATCAATGGCACACTTAACCCTGATTATCAATGTGGACCTCCTGTTAGGGTGAGCCCTAGCCAATTCCCTGATCCATCTGGCTTACCAGCGAATAAAACTGCAGTTGCCAGCTGGCAGGTGGTGTGTAATATCACCCATCCCAAGGGAGCAAGCCCTAGATGCTGTGTTTCATTTTCTGCTTACTACAATGATTCTGTTATCCCTTGCAACACTTGTGCTTGTGGGTGCCCTAGTAACACTGCCCGTACTTGTAGTGCTACTGCTCCAGCTGTTCTTCTTCCACCACAGGCACTTCTCGTTCCTTATGAGAATCGGACTGCCATGTCTGTAGCTTGGTCTGCTCTCAAACATCGGGCTGTGCCAAACCCATTTCCTTGTGCAGATAATTGTGGAGTTAGTATCAACTGGCACTTGTTTACTGATTATAACCGTGGATGGAGTGCAAGAATCACACTCTTCAATTGGCAAGAAACTTCATTCCCTGATTGGTTTGCTGCAGTGCAATTGGACAAAGCTGCTGCTGGTTTTGAAGCTATGTACTCATTCAATGGAAGCATGCTGGAGATGGATGGTGTCAACAACACCATATTAATGGAGGGGCTTCCAGGGTTGAACTATCTTGTGGCAGAGACTGATGGAGCCAACCCACAAAAGGATCCTAGGGTTCCTGGAAAACAACAGACAGTGATCTCATTCACTAAGAAAAATATACCAGGAGTGAATATTGCTGCTGGGGATGGGTTTCCTACAAAAGTGTTCTTCAATGGGGAAGAGTGCTCACTCCCTTCAATATACCCAACAAGCAACAGCAATGGAAAGGGATCGACCATGATATTATCAATTCTCCTGGCAGCTGTGGTGGTGTTGTTGATACGGCAATAGTTGTCGGATGTGAGATTGCTTGATTTTGTAGCGGCTTCTGATTCTTTTCATTCTTTCATTGCTTTGATGGATGCATGCTTGACCAGGAGCTTTGACATTTACCAGAATCACTAGAAGATATGCATGCAGAGCTTGGTACATAAAGGGCAGGTGTTGATTTGATTGTATCTGGTTGGTGTTATATACGACTCCGGGACATCAATTTTATAATGCTAATGCACAATTTGATTATATATCTAGTTCTTATTGAAACATGATTGTTTGTTTGGTTTGATTTTTTCTGCTATATTTCATCTACCATCTCTATTCTAGACTCTAGATACCTTTCTTACATATAAACTACCTATTTGTTCATATGCTTCTTTTCTATTGTTTTTTTTACTCTGGAGGTTCCATCTTATTTGCCAGAGATGAATTGCTGCTTAAAGAAATTTTGTTTAGATCTGTTGGTTTGAATGTTTGTTAGATTTCATGAGAAACACTGTTGCTAACAATCTCTTGCACTGAAATTTTCAAGCTCATATCTGTTAGTGTTGTATATTTATTTTGGCTGGATTGAATTGATACTTACCTCTAGTGGTGGCTCTTCGCTTGCAAATCTTCCAATATTTGACAGCCTACGTAAACCAGGTCAGTATTTCTCAAGTGTGAATTCCGTCTATCGGCAGGACAAGTTTTTCTATCCTCGGTTTATCTACACCACTGATTCTCACATTATTTCTTCAATATAATCCATTGTCTGCGCTCTTGTCTGATCAACTTGATCCCTTTAAGTTCACACAACGATGGTTCTTATTTTGATCAACTTGTTGCAAGCCAACACTATCCTTTAATTGTCAGCATGAAAAAACTGGAGAATGATTCTGGCTACAGCTGCTTTGGACTTCCATTAACTAGGGTCAGCTCAGGGCCGATGTGCCTAGAATGATGAGAGGAGGATTTTTGTACATTGTAAATGGTGGACTTTAATCATGATCTCACAAGTTCTTTATCTTGTTTCTCAACCACTGAGCCACCTTTTCTTGTACCTAGAAACACGAGGCAGCTTTATTGATAGAGAATATCTAGGTGGGCACATGACAGCATCACTTGTGCTCTTAACTGCACAATCTCCCTAAATGCATTCTATTAAATGATGGTGAAAAGGTTCCTGCAACCTAAATGTGGAGCTCTCTACATTTTACGGCATGTGCATGCTAGTCGAAGAATCCTGACTAATCCAGAATGCTGGCTATTACTTGCAACAAACGCTCACGCTCCATGCAACGTCAAATAGCACAGCACAAAAATCGAGGTTCCAGTATGAAATTGCAGATCAAGGGAGAAGAAAACAAGGACCTCCTAAAATTACTAGAAAAAATCCAGGGAAAGACATACTCAGACTTTGTGTCTAGAGCAATCAAATGGAATATGTACATCAAGGTCAATCCCTTAATTAATAAATATAAATAAAAAAACAAGGAGTTGAAAACAAAATCAAACTTGATCTATTATTAAAGTTAGAAAAGTTCCTAGAATTCTGCAGATGTCTAAGAAGTTGATTCCAGCTTTCCACAACCTGAGCCACCGAAAACTTCTCACGAGCACCCTATAATGAGTTGCTTCTTGCTGGCTTTTCCGAAGAAATGCAGACAAAATTTAGCAGGTAAGCCTTTGCATGCCATCCAATTGTATCTTATTAGCTTCCCAATTATCTTCCATTGGAATTTATCCACCTCGACTTCCATTTGCCTGAATTTTTTTTAATGTTCCAAACTGAAACAGCAAGAACATGATAATCACAAGAGAAACGTGTCTATGAGAAATCAAACAATCCGTTCTGTTTTTTTTTTTTTTTTAATTTTTTAACAAAACACTGACTTGAATTGCCACCCTCCAGTTGCACAGAGAGAGATCAAATTCATCTGTAGCAGCAGATATGTACATTAGAAACTGCAATAGCTAAGAGAACTGAGCACGGGGTATGTCCTACACAGGAATATTATCCAGGGAATACCCATCGAAGTCGAATTCAATTTCAGCTGGTCCAATGCCTGCCTGCTGCTGCTGCTGCTGCAAAGGAAGAAAAATTGGCACAAATTATTAGAAAGCTGCAACTTTCCAAAACCCAACATATAAAATTAATGTGGAAACAGAAACCAACTTGTTTGAGAAGCGCACTCATGAGATCTTCCTGATCAAACTGTTCATTAAAGAGGGTGGTTTGAAGGTTTGCATCAGGGACTCTTTCAGTCTTAACTCTCACTAAATTCTCGGCAAAAAAGGTGTTGAGAGGTTGTCCAAGACTTTGTGCATTCATACGGTCCGTTGCATCTCCTGCTGAAAATATTGGCTTCCCGACAGCAGATATATTCCTGCCCTGTCCATTACTTTGGCTAGAAGAGAAGCCCTGATGAGCTAAAACTGATGATGCCACATCGACCCTGCTTTGCAGAGAGTTGGATTGCTGAGAACCATTGAAGGCAATGCCTACATTCTGTAACTCCCAATCATGGGATCTGTGGTTTTGCACGTCACTAAAAATATCATAACTTGGCATGATGAATCCTCCAGGTCCTTTCATTTCTGAGTTAATATCTTCAGGAAATGTCCCCTTGGATGTGAGACTAGGCACCCCAGGAGCACTTCCAAGAGCAAAACTACTGGCTGTCAATTCAGCTGTGGTGTTCAAGGGGAAATTCAACGTTGGAGATGATTGTGAAACTGGACTGAATCCTGTTCCTCTGCCATTTTCAGCTAATCCAGTTCTCGCCAAGACCCCACTGGCAATTGCATTAGTTACAATAGGCTGCCCTATGGACGATGGGAGTCTGGGAACTTGGCTGCTGCTAGTTTCATTTAGTACCTGGCCCCTAGACTGCTGTTGAGACATCTGCATCAGCAAAGAACCACTCTGGTCTCCATGGGCATTGAGTTGCATATTCATGCTCCCAAGGGACTGTGCTGAATGGTGCAAGTCGGCTAGCTGCTTTGGCTCCATTGTGGTTGGGATTCCATGAAGTAAGTTTATTTGCTTACCATTGTTCAAATGTTGCTGTTGCCCCTCCCCAAATCTTAATTTTGGGTTTTCAAAGCTGAAAAGGTTCCTCTGATCAACAATTGACATGGGCATTCTAGGCTTTGCTGTTGATCGACCAAGTCCTGCTGCTTGCAGTGTGGCGAGGCTTTGTGCAGGGATTTGACCAGCAGCAGCAAGAGTTTGAAGGTCAAGCCCATTAAGCGAGGACAATGGACCATATGATGCTTCTTGCGGGCTGATAAAAGAGTTGCCCATACCGCTCTGGTGCTGTGAAACCCCACTTAACCTTCTAAGATACAAGCGATATTTCTGCACCATATAGTTGGATAGTGAGCAAATTTGAATACATCATATTCTACACTAAACATTCCATGCTAAGCAAACATGTTCCATACCTGGAGGTGGCTGGCAACATTTTCTCTGGTGAGCCCAGGAACATTCATCAACTCTAGAATTTTCTTGGGAACAGCCTCTGCATCCACAGAAGAAAAATAAACATATAAGAGGGCAGAAATATTGGGAGTAAATGTCCATAGTCCAATAGAGACAAGTATGAAGGTGTAAGGTTTAAGCTAAAGTCAAATTACATTTGCATGACAGGATTGAATGGTAAAAAAATGTCAAGGCTCAGCATAGAGATCTGTAAGTGATGCAGATGTAACATAAATCTAGTCAAAACTATGAGCTGATGGTGAGCTCAAAACTATGAGCTGATGGTGAGCAAAAAGGCAACCAAGAAGCATGTCTATCGCTTACACTTCCCCCATGATTGTTCTCCTAATATGGCATGCTTCTCTAAACAAAAGGTGCTGCATTTAGGTGCTTGTAAATTAGGAAGTACAACGGTATTAGCTTTTGAAAGAAATGGTTAGGATACTTACTGTCAATTCCTAGTTGATTAACTGCTGCAACAAACTGTTGGTGAAGCTCAACTGACCAAACCACACGTGGTTTCTTTAACGTGGATGTATCATCCCGCTCATCTGCTTCTTCTTCCTCATCTTTTCTCCTTTTCGAATTTTTCCAACTTCCTTCGTTTGCTGAGGATGAGTAATCTGCATCTTCCGATTGTTTCTGCTGCCTATCTCCTCCCTCTTCTACACTCCCCGATTGCTCCAAATCCTTCCACTCGTTCTTTCTCTTCCGAACCACGTGCTGCCATATGTTCTTAAGTGCCTCAATGCGAATCGGTTTAATCAGATAATCACAAGCACCATGAGTTACACCTTTCATGACCACATTTTTCCCATCATCAGCTGACATCACTGCACAGTTCATAAATTATGCAGCAGACATCTCATTAATGTTAGCTCTTTAACAAGAAAGATAATTAAATCCATCTGAAGCAACTGCGAAAGGAAACTTACTGATAACAGGCAGATCCATCTCTAGCCCAATACGCTCGAGAAGTTTGAATCCATCCATATCTGGCATGTGGACATCACTTATAACAATATCGTACCCGTTTTTGTTCTCTCGAAGTAGAGACAACGCAATCTCTGCTCGGTTACACTTTGTGACTGAAAATTCCCACACAGACCAAATCAATCAATCAATCAATCAATTTACACAAACGAAAATGTCTTTTAACATACACCCACAGACCTCAACGGGAGTTTACCAGTCAGTGACCAAGAGGAAAGCATCAGACATCACAAATTCAAACACATCTCCAAGACAAGAAGAGTAATAACATCCAAATTCCTATAAATCTTAAAACCGAATTTAGAACTCCAATTCATTACATAATCATAGCACAGATGTGACACCACCCCTCGAATCTCAACACTGCCACATAAGTTCACAAGCAAAATCACTAAAGAAACAGAAGAAATGACCACTTATATGTCACACAGAAATCATAACACACCCAAAATGAAACCCAATTCATGTGCTGAGCATCAAAAACAACAAATTCAAGGAAACTATACTTGATCTTTCGAAGTATAATTCACACAAATCTCCATAAATACCTTCATAACGGCAGGTCCTAAGCATCTTCTCCAAGATCACAAGACATGTTGGATCATCATCAACAACCAACACACGTAACCCCGCCGGAAACTGATCTGAAACGCCACCAGAACTAGCCGTTGACATTGATCCTTTACAGTAACCGAGATTCAACATGGCTGCAAACAAAAACTTTGATCTCCAAAACCAGCAACTAAACAAAAGAGAGACACTACTAAATTCACATGTTTGAAAGACTTCAACTTTCCATAAAAGAGTCAAAAACTAAAAGAACCCAGTCGAGATACACGAGAATTTGAGGGAAAGAAGGGAAGTTTTGGATTATTAGAAGAGAGACATAAAAAGGGAAAAAATATTGATAATTATAAAAGAGATATGTATCTCCAGCTTCTTCAATTGAAGCTCTAAAAATCTCTGCTTTCTTTCAGTATTAATAATTTATTATTTTAAGTATGGATTATTTTATTCAAAAGTGGGTCAGTCCTCGAAGAGTGGATCCAGCTCACTCTTGAAGTTAACTAACTCCACCGCGTATCTAAATCTACTCTTAACAGAAAACCCCTAACGTTAAAAGTTTTTTACTGTTGTTCTGTAGCATGTCTGTGTTGCAGTCTTTGCTTTTTTCACTTCTTCGTAGGTTTTTGTTTCTACTGTGGACAAAACTTCTCTTCTTTCTTTGATGGGTCAAATTTTGTTGCACGAATTTGAAAATCTGTTGCAAATGTTGGTGGATTCGGGTTTAGTTGAAACAAAATGGACTTATCCATGGTTTATCATCTTTTAAATTTCAAATTTCAAGTCAAGATTACAAGATATTTTAATGGAGAACCACATGTTTTGGTGGTTATTTAGTTTATATTTTTATCCCTTCAGACAAATATATTTCTTTTGTATTTTATTCTAGTACACTATCTAAAACTTGGGGATGTCTTCTTTATACTTGAATACAAGAGTGTTTAATTTGGGGATGTCTTCTACATAAAGGTACTATCAGTTACATTTTGTTGCCTGATCATGCCATTTGAATTACCTGTGGAAACATGTAACCAATTCAAGGATGCTTGTTTATTAAATTGTAAATTACACGACCCTTTACTTGAGTCTCTAATTTCATTTCCAAGCATGATTTGATTTACTTGATGACCTTGCTAGCTCCACTATAAATTACGTCTTTCTATGCATGCAAGAAGAGAAAAGGGGAGAATATTGAGCCTATTTTTTTATGAAGACTCTCATGCACAAGCTGGTGATATTTTTATGTTTCAAAGCAATGTATGGCACGGCAGCAGCCACTTGCGTCGTGGGTTGGTTTAGGCTTCCACTTTCAAGTTCCGAGAGTGGCCATCGATCCTTTGTCACTTTTGCCTTTTTTATGTTTTCTTTGAACAAAAGCTTTCTGCTATTTGTCATTCTTTCTTTTGGTAAAAACATCCAACTGGTCCTCACTGATTCCCGTGACAGCAT